TGGTTGAAGGGTCTGGTTTGGTTGGAGGAGATGGTTTGGTTGGAGGATCTGGTTTGGTTTAAGGATCTGGTTTGGTTGGAGGATCTTCAGTTGATCCAGGATTAACAAGTTGGAGGTCAGTATGGGGATCTTAGATGAAGGTCTTTTTAAAGGGATCATGTCAGGATTTTACATTACTAAATCACCTTTATAAAGGGAAGGGAGCGGAAGCATAACAAGCTTCATATTCTAAAAAAGATTAAAAAACAAAAGAAAAAAATAGTTTATTTAAAAAATTGGAAAGGAAAAATTCAACAAGTTGAAAAACTTTTAAGTCTGCTTTACTCTTTTTTATTTAAGTTATAAAATTCATTTTATTATGATTTTCTACTTCTAAAGAAAGTTCAGAAAGAGAAATAAGAAATAAAACAAGAATATTTTCCAATAATTCACTTTTCCTATTTATATAGATAATCTAATTCACAAATTGTTCTACACCACTTTGGATAAAAAAGAATCTATGTAAGAAAGTTCCCGGAAAATAAGTTTCTGGAAAAAAACCTGGAAATAAAAACTTTGGAAAAAAGTTCGAATTTACTCAAGTCCTTGGAAAAATTGTCACTGGAAAATAAGTCCTGTGTTTTTGATTCCTAGGACTTTTTTCCTTAAAATAAAACTTACTTAATTGAAGGACTTTTTTATTGCGAAATATGGGACTTTTTCCGGAAAATTTTTTTCTAAGAATTTTTTTGACGGTTACCCGAAAAAAGATATAAAAATTAAAGATAAACCAAAAATACTTATAGATGTAAACACATTACTAGATCTTTCTTCCGTCTACATACCTAGCTTTTATGTATATATATATTTTTTAAATATGGTTGATCAAAAGTGGATTTTTGTGGAAAAAGGAAAAAACTTTTTTTTGATAATTTTAGTACACCAACTGTTATACATACTTCATGATGGCATGTACAAAATAAAACAATGTAAAAATTAAAAAAATAAACCAAAAATATTCTCTTATTAAAGTTAGATTATATCATCTTTTTTAGGCTAACTCAATTAATATCAACTTTATCTTTCGACTCATATATTTTTTTTAATATTTTGAAGGGATGATTTATTTTGACAAAAGGACCTCTTATATACGTCCCAGTAAACGAGAATTGAGAGACAGCTCAAAAATCGTCTTGGATTTCTGATAATTGATAAATGAAAAAGAGCTTCTATTCAGAGAAAGGCTGTACTTTTTATGAGCTTTCCAAAAAGTGGTCTACCAATTTATTGTATCTTTAAAATTGACGGAAATATAAACATTTACACTGCAATTTTGTTGTTTTCAATAAATTGAAATCTGGAAAAATCTCTCAATGTCTCCGCCAAAGGCGTGTAAAAATGGGAGACCACATTTTGGAAATCCCATGATCCCAGTAGTTTTCGAAAGGAAATGTTTTAGCTGGGATACTAGTACTACTTAAAATTTGTTTTCGAAATAATGCCGCGCAGAACAAAGACGAACTAAAAGTCTTCACTCGATTCCAATGTTTAATGGGGCACCCTGTATTTTGTACAATATTATTGATGCAAAGCAGTCCAGAATGTAGACAAATAATTAAGTGAAAATGTTAAAAATGAACTTTTTTGTTATTGTACAATTAAATGCACTAAAATATGCCGCGCGCCTTGATCGTCAAAATATTTGATTCCAATATTGGATTTTGAATTAGAACTTAGGGCTGGGCACCTTTCAACTTTTTCTAGCTGTTACGTTAACGGTTCAATCCAACCGTTAAAAAAGAAAAATTTCAGGTGGCCGTTCATTTTAAAGATAAGAACAGAATGTTCGTTTCGTTAACGGTATTTTCCGTTTTTTTAAAGTTACCTTTAGTTAACGATCTCAATGTTATTAACAGTGTTAACAGATAATTTTCAACAACCGTTAACGGCTCCAGCGGTTAAAAAACCGTAATTACATCGTTGATTACATTAATGACACGAAGCGCCTTAAAAAATCGTTAAACGGACTGTAAAGTAAAATGAAAGGGGGTATAGGATGAAACCTGAGAATCTCAGGATTATAGAAGATACCTATAAGACATCTATCTGATGTTCGTGTCTCGAAAAATTGATGTAAAACTGTGTCAAATTAATAGGAAAATTCATATATATATATATGCAATTTTGTATAAAAGTTGTATAGTATTAACCAGATCATATTAAATGTTTTTCTTCAAAATCTTTTTCATTAACAATTTAAAAAATAGCGGCTTTTGCGTTCGTAAAGAAAATTGTAATAAGAAAATTTGCAATTTTCAGTTCTACAGAAAGCGGCAGCGGGCAATTAGCAATCTTTAGCGATTGATACTATAGCTATTTTGTGTATAAAGAGTTGTACGGAAGTTCTGAGGATTTTTAAAAATATCTTTATAAAGTTTTCAAACTAAAATTTATAAAATTTTAGAATTTGATAGAAAAAAATAATAATATGAACACACTTTTTTCGCTTTCTAAACTTTTGATTTTGAGAGAAAAAATTTGAGGACTATTTTAAGGCCATTTCTATGTATATTCCGGTTCATTTCAAGTACAAGGACAAACTTTAATCAGATTGCTGTACACTATACCAATGCAGACTTTGTAAGTCAAAACAGGACGGTACGCCAAATGAACGATCCTCTTCTAATGAAATTTAAATGATATGTTATACATGTTAAAAACTATTGTAAAACAAGTTACGATTTTGCACCAGACGCCGCTTGTCTCTTATTTGGCTCACACTGCACATATATAACGAAATATTTAAAACAATAAGAATTTATTTAAATCATAAGAAAAAATGCAAAGAGGTCCAAATTGGACTAAATATTCAAAAACCTACTTTAATCACACCATGTTGCACATTTAAATTAGGATTTTGGAGTTTTCTATGAAATAAAGCTTTTTGCTAATATATATATGTATGTATAAACAGGGTGAGTAAAAGAAAAGTTGTTTTTCAATGGTTCTTATATATATATATATATATCAGCTATAGCTGGACAAACGGCATGGACCAAAGTGCTGGAACCCGTGGGTAACTGTGGGCTAATTAAATTAAATTAGTTTTCAACATTATTTTCATATTTTTAAAAAAAGTCTTATGGGCAACGCCGGGCACTTCAGCAAGTAGAAGATATAGTCAATCATACACTTTTATTTATTTTGCATGAATATTTTATTCTTACGTCAGAGATTTCAATACCACAATTTTGACCAAATTATGAAACAATTGTAAGTTTTCTGCATCCTAACAGGATTTCACATTTTATAAGATAGAGATTCTGTTAACGGAAAAAGTTTTTGCTTTTCGGACAATTCCGAAAACAAACAAAAATAGTACGTTTATTGAAAATACGGTATCGATTTCGTCCGTTTATTGCCGAAATACTTTATCTAATTATTAATACCATTTTCACGAATGGAAGTTTCTGAAAATTAAAGAAATTTCGTTAATTAAACGAACGGATATAAAATAGTTTTAGTAATAAAAGGCATTTTTTTCGTACATTTTTTAAAGCATATCGAGTAGGGTATAGGACGGTCGGAACTCAAAGGTTTTTTAAACCATATCGAGTAGGGTATAGGACGGTCGGAACTCAAAAGTTTTTAAAAATCCTAATTTTTTTGTAATTAGAGCTCCAAATCTGCAACTTGCCTTTTTAAGAACTGCTCCTAAAAAAAGGATATAAAAACATTTGTTACACCGCAAACATCAAAACTACAATTATAACACTTTTTATTATCTTATTATTAAACTTAAACTTTTTATGTAAAGTTAAAGGAAATAAATGCTCTTGGTTTTTTTCTTTTAATATTGATTGCAAATATTTTTTCATTTTCTGAAAAGCGAAAGGTTATAAAGTTTAATAATAACCAGATGTGGAAAAAACAAAGATTTTGTTAAGCCTAGTAAAAGAAATCTGGCATATATAAATATTTTAAATGAGAAATGACTTGCTAAAATCCGGGGGGGGGGGACAACGCCCCCCAAATTTCTCTCAGGAGGGGGTAATAGACTGCCACCCCCCTGACACCGCTTACGATGGAGTAAAATCCACAGAGGGGAGGGGGCGGTGGTTGGGTTGGTTGGAAAACACCTTCACCCCCAATCGTGTACACCCTTTATCATTGCAGACGAGTGGTTGACACACATTTCAAGATTTTAAGGCCCCGCACGGCGTTTTAAATTTTCGGAAAATCTGGTTGGCCCGACACTCTGTTTTGCCACACAGAAAACTGTTAGTGATTAGGCCCGGCACAGTGTTGTAAACTTGCAAAGAATCTGGTAGGCCGGTACGGCGTATAAAAAAATTAACTGGTAGGCCCGGCACGGCGTTGTAACTTGAATATAACTGAACTGGTAGGCCCGGCACGGGGTCTAGGCGAGCTAGGCCGCCGATGCCTGCCTGTTGGCTTTAATCAGCTGTGTTGGCTAGGCGGGCTTACAGCTTCAGTGCAGTTTCAAGTTAAATCTATTATATTTTTCTTTATTTAATCAAGAAAAACGTTTTTATTTAAATTTATATGTCGATGCAGTGATTTTGGGGAATAAAAGTGATCCAATCGAGTATGTAAAGTTTAAGAAACTAGAAATTCAAGGCGCTTCGCGCCCTTCTTTCTAGCCTTAGAGGGCGCTTCGCGCCCATCTTCTAAATTAGTTGTGAACATGTTCTCTTTGTGTACATCGTAAAACAAAACAAAAATAGCTCGCGGATTTTCACAAAAAATTTCGCGGATTTTCAAAATTTTTAAAAATTTAATGACGATCGAATTTTGATGGAGACAAATATTTGAAATTTTGATTTTTCAGAAACCTTCCCTAGGGTCCCTAGATGTCACACAAAAAATTTGGGCCCGATCGGTTCAGCCGTTTTGACGTTTATTGGATACAAACAAACAAACAGACAAACAGACAGACAGACAAGCCAAATTTATATAGAAATTAAAACATGATTTCCAGAAGGTGTGCAATAGGAAGACGACTTTTATCGTTTTTAATTATCTTAAGATTGTGATATACAGTAATTGTTTAGTGTACTGTTAACATTCCGATTTCTGTTTACAGTTATTTTGCAAGCATAACCACGGTGAAATTAATAAATTACTTGTTTTTTTTTGTTTATAATTTTTCATCAAATTCTGTAGAAAGTTGTTAAAGTCCCATTCCACAGTTGAATGATTCTCATTTCTGAGTTTTTTTGTATTATAGAAAATGAAAAAGATACGCATAAAAAAGAATATTAGGAGAAAGATTGAAACTGGATTTTTTGAAGACAATGTGACCAAAGCAGATATAAGGTTAATTCTACACATTATAAAAAGTTTTTATCAGGAAATTTTCTGGATTTTTGGTCAAATTCAAGACAGTTTTAACTTCTCCAGTTTGAATTTAATTTTAGACGACATTCCATTTCTCTAAAATGATATACAGGGTTACCCACAAAGGATGAGAATGGAATTTTTCCATATATTCATGATTCTCTAAAACTGTAAAGTTTTTTTTTCATTTTTTGTCAAATCATTATGTAAGCCGCTATAAGAATATATATTTAAAGACAGAACACTTAATTTTATGAGCTTGGTATCGTCATATTTTTACAAGTTTCAGGTCGTCTTTACAATCTCATTCTTTGTAGCTGTAACCCTGTACAATACATACTTCGTTCACATTTATAATAATTTGAAACTTTTCCGTAATATAATGAAGGTACATAACAGCTAAATGATATTTGGAGACACAGATGTCCACTGAATTTAGTCATTTTGTTTTATTAAGTATTGTAGGTTGTTTAGCTCGCTAACTCGATCAACTTTGTGTTTTTGTCACTTTGTTTTATTTTTTTTTCATTGGCACAATTAAATTTGTTGTGCCATGGCTGACTGTTCTATTTCACAATTCAGAATATTTTTTTCATAAACTATGCATATGGCGGTGTTACCTTAAAAAACGTAAATTAGATTTATAAATTGAAGTCGTCTTCATTATCAAAATGACAAAAATAAAAAAAATTATAATGATATTTCATTGCAGCCGTAAATAAAACTTTAATTTAATTAATTTTTAATATATTTTTCTCACGATTGAGCTATGTAGTTAAACTTAAATCAATAATAATTTTTTTTTATTTTAGAATAAAGCTGAGCTGCGTTCAGACCTCAATATTCTCTTTACTTCGTGGACTAGGTATTCATTTTAGTTTGACCATGTTAAAACATTTAGACGAAAACGGATATCAAAATTACGTAAAACAACGGATTCCATTCTGTACGTCTGTGACATTTAGATCCAGACTTCAATGAAAACAATGCATCGATTTTCAAGACTGGGTCTACTTTGAAAAAAATTTCGTGGATTTTTAAATTTCATGAAAATCGAATTTTGTTGGAGGCTAATTTTAGAAATTTTGATCGCCCAGAAACCTGCACTTGGGTCATGTGAGGTCCCGCACAAAATTTGGGCCCGATTGATTCAGCCGTTTTGACGTTTATTGGATACAAACATAAATTTAGAATAATTAAATACAATCGAATTACTTGAAATTAATATAAATTAATATTTTTATTTTATATTGCAGATAAGGTTGAAAAAGGGATGTCACTAGATTATGTGAATTTTCTTAAAACTTTTCAGGTACAGTGGTCGGCGTTTTAATCAATACAATGTCGAGTTTATATTTAGTAATCCTTTGATCCTTGACAAATGTCTTACAAATTGTAAGTTTACGTTTAAACAAAGTGAAGCTGTTAATTGACAACTTCTTTTTGTTAATATGTTTCGGTGTCTCTGCTGTTTAAAAGCTTGATTGAAATCTAAACTAGACTAGAAAGTCGTCTTCATTAAATTGAATTTTTTCAGGCCAAATTTATTGACGTTTGCGTTCCCTCAAAAAATCTGCCTATTCGGTCCTGCATAAATGGATGACCAAAATATAAATATTTTGGTCATCCAAGTATTCTCAAAGTAAAGAAAAGTTTAAAAATATTCAGACTTTGCTGGATTCATGAATAAAAAAAAGATTAAGATTCAAAATGTTTAGTTATTGCTTTTGGTCTTTAATTTAAAAGTATGTCAAATAAAAAATTAAAAAAGTTGGATTAATTCTTTATTTTCAGACACAAACAGAAACAGAGGCCATAGCTATTGGGAGTATACAAAATACTTTATTATCATTAGAGGATTTAAAACTAGACTGGAGGTAAGATAATGAAAGAGGATTTAAAACTAGACTGGAGGTAGGATAATGAAAGAGGATTCAAAACTAGACTGGAGGTAGGATAATTAAAGAGGATTTAAAACTAGACTGGAGGTAGGATAATTAAAGAGGATTTAAAACTAGACTGGAGGTAGGATAATTAAAGAGGATTTAAAACTAGACTGGAGGTAGAATAATTAAAGAGGATTTAAAACTAGAATGGAGGTAGGATAATTAAAGAGGATTTAAAACTAGACCGGAGGTAAGATAATTAAAGAGGATTTAAAACTAGAATGGAGGTAGGAAAATTAAAGAGGATTTAAAACTAGAATGGAGGTAGGAAAATTAAAGGGACTGTCTTTGTATTTTCAAAGGGATCTTTTATTTAAAGAGATACTTGTCTGATTTACAACTGTATCCTTTAAACTGCTTTTGCTAATCAATAATGTGGGAAATATCGTAGTTTTTAACATAAAAAGTGATTACTTCCGACAAAATCTCTTTTTTAAAGTTGAAATGTAAAATTTTAGTAATAAACAACCCAGAAATGAAATAAAACAATTTTCAAATAGAAAATGAGCGAAATCGCAGACTAACCTTTTAAAGGTACCATTGTACTTTCCCAGAGGCATTTTCACAAAGGCCACTTCCTACGTATCAATTTTCCAAGTGGCAACTTCCCAAATGTGCAATTTCCCAAGCGGAAGCTTCCCAAGTTTTTCCTAGCCGCAGCGCTCAGCCCCAAGCCTGTTCTATCCGCTGTGCTCGGCCCCCTAGCCCATACTAGCCGCATCGTTCGGCCCTAATTGCAGCCTGCGGCGATCAGGCTGCAAACCTAACCATTGGGAAGTTGCCGCTTGGGAAAATGCCTTTGGGAAAGTACCATATCATCCTTTTGAGCATGCCACTCTTTAAATGGATCGAGACTCACTTAAATTCCGCATAAAGTCTCTTTAATGAAAATTGTGAATTATGACCGTTTCCCCACATTTGATAAATTTTGTCTACTCCAAATCATTAACAAAGTAAGTTAACAAGCAATTAAGAATCCGGAATTTTCTAATTAATTTAAAAGATCTTTTATTTTAGAACTACTCTTGTTTCTATGCAAAATTTGATTTCTGAGCTGCTAGCCGGAATACATCCGGATTTAGAGATACAACCGGATGAACTGGTTCAACCGGATGTAGACATGCAACCGGATCAGGAGATGCCTCCAGATCTAGTTTTAAAGAACTTAATCCCAAATGGAGTGAAATCTGTGAAATCAAATATAAGGGAATTAGAATCAGAATATTTGTCAGGTAAACATAGGGAAGGGACCCGCAAAGGACGCGATTTAGAGAGGACTTACGGAACTTTTTCTTACATTTTTGGTTCCCTTAAACTGGAAACTTGTTTTTTTTTGTACAGTGATAACCAGATAACTCTGGAATAGGAAGTCGACTTTTAGACGTAAAATAGTCCAATTTGAACATGCAAATGTGTAGTGTGAACAGTTCCATTTCACTAAATAAGTAATTTAATATTTACTATACTTAAGCTATTTGCTAATTGTAACAACATCAAATATTGATTTCATGTCTCCTGTAGATAAACATTGGTTTGGAAGAGATGGAATGTCGTCTTGGTTTAACTTTTATTTAAGTTTGATTTGTATGATAATTTAAATTGAGCGTAAAATTTTGTATTGCAAATCTGAACAAGGCTCTTTAAAATCTATGCTCTAGGAACTAGCTTGGGAACCCAGCTTAGCCAGGAAACTAAACTTGCTCTGTCAACTCATCCAATTTAGAATTATTAAACCAAGCTAGGAACAGATCCCATCAACATTTGGGGCAAATCGGTCAAGAGATTCACGAGTTACGCTTGAACATACAAACACCGACAGACTTAATACATATTGCATACATACAGGCCACAGTGTCACTTACTAGGGATGAGACTGTTAAAGACGACATGAAATTCTTTAAATAAGACGCTTCCCAGGTCAGATTAAGTATATCTGTCATGAAAATTGTCTTTTTAGGTGTTATGGCCTTTTTAAAGATAGATAGGATAAAGAAAGAAATTGTCAGTAAACCTGTATAGTCGTCTCTGAAGTCTCCTTCTTTGGGGTTAACCTACAGTAAAACCCTTAATAACGAATACATCGAAAGAATTCATAAAATGTCGTATTCTTCACTTTCTGATAATGGAATGTTGCAGATATTTAGTTTTTTAATTTAATGATTACATGGAACTCTTTAAAACTGTTCCCGCATATTCATGGCTATTTATTTATTTTCGCAAATACTGAAATTTACGTAATATAGTATAAAACTCATTGAAAAATTGTCAAGACGACATTTGATAACCTTTTTCGATGTATTCGTTATTAAGGGTTTCACTGTAGTATATATGAAGATTAATTACAAATTATCGTATTATTTTGTATAATATTTCAGCCATTTTTTGCTTTGGGTTTATATGTATTTTTCCATCAGAAACTTTTCATAAATTTCATGCAGAAATGTTTCTTAATTTGCTAAAAAAAATGAGAGTGTAACTGTAATTTGTTAATGGCCCACTTTAAATTAAGAGCTTTTAGAAGTACATTTATTGCTTCTAGATATAAATACATATTAAATAAAGAGTGTATAAAAGGAGAGGAAGTTGAGAAGGTCTTCTCCGATTCCAGGGTCCGACACAACTGATTTGCGGATTTCATAATCCTCTTTCGGGGATTTCATATCCTCTACAAGCTAAGAATTAAATAATGTTGTCAGTCCGAGTAATTGTTCACTCTAATAATTGTCAAATTTTCTTCTAAGAAAATTTGTTGGAGTCAAATTCAACTTTGTAGCACATATCTTCAAATTTTGATGATTGATGAATTTCATCTAATAATGTCTTCTTTCTTTTCAAATTATCAAACAATAATTTTTTCTGTGAGACATACAGGGTGTCGCACGAAACATGACAGTTGGTGAATAGTTTTGAATGTCTTCTTCCATATCAAGTATTATATATTAATAACTACCAAGCGATGTTTTTTATTATTATCTTTGGTATTAAAGAACTTAACAAATTATGGAAGAAGACATTTAAAACTATTCTCCTTGCAGTGTAGGCTCTCCTTGCAGTGCAGAAGGCTCCCCTTGCAGTGTAGGCTCTCCTTGCAGTGTAGGCTCTCCTTGCAGTGTAGGCTCTCCTTGCAGTTTAGGCTCCCCCTGCAGTGTAGTGCTCCGACAAATTTTGTAAATTTTAGGACCTGGTTTGAAAATGTGTTATGAGAATCCTGTGAAAAGTGAGAAGACAACTGAAGAAAGTGGGAGAGAAGATCAGGAATATAATTCCGAGAAAGATTTTATTTTTCAAACTGAAGAACAAGGTAAAAGAGTAAATTTTTGCTTTTCCCCTTTAAAAAAGTTTATTTAAAAAAAGGTACTTAAAGAAGGGTTCTAAAATTTTTGAAATTTTACTAGAAATCCGATTTTCAAGGTTTTAATATATTCAAAATAATTTTAATTAGACCTATTTGAGAAAAATTTCTACGTTTTGCATTTAAAAACTCCAAAACCGTAAAAATGTTGTTTAAAAAAATGGGATTTTGGGTGACCCCCCTTCCTTAAAAACCTGTTACAATTCGTAATTTCCAAAGTCAGTAATTTTTGGAGCTTTGGATTTAAATTAAATTTTGTATCTTAAAAACCTGTTACATTCAAATTTAGATGAAATCTCCACCGACATGAAACTGTTAGAGATGAAGTTAAAAGAAGAATTACCAGATGAATATTTCAATGATTTTCAGGTATTTATATCTATATATATATACATATATATATTACATATTTTTACATATTTTTATTGTAATATTTAGTCGAAAAGTGTGTAATATTTAGTCGAAAAGTGTGATCCCTGGAGAAGAAATGTCGTGTGATTTATGTGATTTCAAATCTAATCTGGTACAGAGAATACAGATACATAAACTCACTACTCATCAAGTTAATAAGGTGAGTTTTACTACAGAGTGTTCCAATAAACAGGGGAATTAAGAAATGGCTTAACAGTTGCCTTCGATTTCTGATAGTGCAGGGTGCACCCACATTATATTAGATCGTTTATAGCTTTAAATTGAGATATCAGGGAGTAATCAGAAAATTAAAAAAAATTAATCACCTAAGAAAAATGTTTTAGGCGAATATAAAAATTTTCTTGCAGAAAATACCAGGTTTTTCAAGTATGATGTCACGTGTGTATTTTGTCGTAAAAGCTTGGAGTTAATCTAATATGATATGGGAAGCTCTGTAGATAGATGACAAACAGTGTATTAAAAGGTTGTATGTCTGTAATAAATCTAGGTCCCGAGATTACTTGACTCTTAGTCTAATTTCAGTCTCACTGACTCTATCTCTAGCCAAAACTCAAAGCTCTATATCTCTAGCCAAAACTCAAGGCTCTATATCTCTAGCCAAAACTCAAGGCTCTATACACGTCCGTTTAAATCAACAATTCATACATTACTAATTTATTAATACAGGTAGATAGAACTGACCGGAATGGCCGGTCAGGGTAAACATGAACATAGATAAAATAGATAACGGAACATAGATAATAAAGATTGTATTGATCAATGGTAGCATATTTTATTACATGTCTCATCATGACCCTCTTAAAATTTGATCTGCCGATTTTTATCTTCAAATTTGACGGAGATACTAAACCATCTTGTTGTTAATAAATAAATTGGAATGTGCAGGACTGATATCTCTGTCAATTTTACGATGGAAAAATGGAAAATCACATTTTGTAATTTTTAAGACTGAGACTTTCAGTTTTACGTGTAATTGTTTTAACTACGGTGGTAACCAATACTTTCTGAAATAGGAAGACGACTTTTATAATCAACTTTAACTTTAAAAAGTCCAATGAGCATGAGAAACAGCAGTGGTGCAGGTGGAACAGGCCCGTTTCACTAAATTAGTGATTTAATAAGTGTCTAGAAAAACTATTTGTTTGTAACAACATCAAATACACTTTAGCATTGCCATAATGTCGTCTTCTAAATCCATGTTTTCTGGTTATAACTTTAGGATAAAGTAAATTGGGATACACCTTTACTCCAGGGGGCTACAGGGGATACACTTTACTCCAGGGGGATACATGGGATACACCTTTACTCCAGGGGGATACATGGGATACACCTTTACTCCAGGGGGATACATGGGATACACCTTTACTCCAGGGGGATACATGGGATACACCTTTACTCCAGGGGGGATACAGGGGATACACCTTTACTCCAGGGAGATACACCTTTACTCCAGGGGGATACATGGGATACACCTTTACTCCAGGGGGATACATGGGATACACCTTTACTCCAGGGGGATACATGGGATACACCTTTACTCCAGGGGGATACATGGGATACACCTTTACTCCATGGAGATACATGGGATACACCTTTACTCCAGGGGGATACATGGGATACACCGTTACTCCAGGGGGATACATGGGATACACCTTTACTCCAGGGGGATACATGGGATACACCTTTACTCCGGGGGGGATACAGGTGATACACCTTTAATCACTAGAAGTCGTCACTTAATTCTTATGTTTATTGGGACACATTAAGCGAAAAGAAAGTCGTCTTCGTTAAATATTTTTAGAAGAAACATCTCGAAAGATATTTAATTTCGTAATTTTCGTAAATTTCATAATTTTCTCAACGACATTTCAATCAATAAATAGTTTGATAAAGATATAGAAAAGACGACTTAATTCAGGGGTTTAATTTTCCCACAGATTAAGTAAAAACATGCATTTTGCATATGCTCAAAATGATGCTATCTCATATGAACTACTCCCGTTTGAACTATAGTTCATTTGAACTATTGTTCATTTGAACTATTGTTCATTTGAACTATTGTTCATTTGAACTATTGTTCATTTCAACTACTGCACGTGGTACCACGTAAGTGGTTGAAATGAACAATAGTTCAATTGAGTAAATATATTGCTCATTTGAACTATTTTTTATTTCATTTGAACTATTTTCATTTGAACTATTAATATTTTAAATGAAATAAACAAAAAAATAGTTCAAACGAACATTAAAATAGTTCAAATGGACATAAAACAGTTCAAATGAATTCATAACAATATTTTTAATGAACACAAAAATAGTTTAAATGAACAAAAAAAATTTAAAACTGAATTGGGGTAGAAAAATAGTTCAAATGAGCAAGAAATGTGTTGATTTAACTTACAGGATATGACGTCATGTCAGTAGTTCAAATGAACAATAGTTCAAACGAACAATAGTTCAAACGTACCATAGTTCAAACAGCAGTAGTTCAAATGAGAATCCACCCTCAAAATGCCAGTCAGTCTCTAAACATTGTTACAGAAAGGTTTTGGTTATATTTTTGTACATCTGAATCCATTATTGAACCATTTTTTCACAATTACAAAAAATGTTTAAATTGTGTTTGAAGAAGGAAATCTGCGAGGACTGTGGTTCTCAGTTTGGTGGGAAGAAAGCGCTAAAGCATCACAAAGAACGAATGCACTACGGAGTCAGGTAACTAGAAACAAGGTTCTCAGCTGGCAACTTTTGTAGTGGATAATCATAATTCCGATCCACAGATCTTGATATTCATTGTGAACACTTCTAATTTGAGAATGGATGCCTCTTTATTTCTCTTATTCCTTCCCTGAACGGAGCTCCCTTCAACCCCAAATTTAAAGCTCTTTTCAACCCCCACCCCCTGCCTGGATACAATTACCATTAGTTTGAATACAAATTTAATTATAATGAAGATTAACAAAATATCGAAATCAAACATTGATCTCTATATATTCACAATACAAGTGCTCCCAGCTCTGGTTGTACAAACCTTTACAAATGTACATTTTCTCATTTTTTATTGTCCAAGAATATTCCATATATAGCTGCAGCACTAGATTCTTGGAATTTAGATACAAATATTAGCTTAATGCATGTTGTTTGTGAGTCATTTCTACAGTGGTAGGCGATTATATCAATAAAAAGAAGACGACTTTCGAATTAAATTTTCATATAAACTTAGCTGTTAAACAGAATGGATACACAAAAACATAAAAGTCAAGAGAAATTATTAATTTAAAAAAGTTTTTTTTTCACCGCTAGCAAAATTGTAATTCGAAGAAACCTTGTTAGCAATCAAAACTTAAATAAAAGTCGTCTTCATTGTAGTGATTTAAACGCTTACCACCGTATATAATTACTATAATTCTACAAAATGCACCATTTATTCGCTTAACATATATTTTTCGCTTTTCATATCTCATTTAATTATTATGTCATGATGGACAAATTGATAAAAATAAAAAAAAATTAAAAGTTTGGAAATTCAATAAAATATTGAATATTCAGATATCCGTGTGATCAGTGCAAATACAAAGCAACGGACAAGAGTCATCTAAGAAGACACAAACAAAGAGTGCATCAGGGACTGAAGCATCCCTGTGAGCTCTGTGGACAATTCTACTCAGATATGAGCACCCTAAAGAGACACATTAAGGAATTTACATACAATTCACACTGCATCTGACAGGGCATATTTCACTTTCAAAAAATGCAAAATGAATGTAAACCTCAAGTTCAAATTCATCAATTGTTCATGTGTTCATAAAACCATCCTTTCCAAGGAGGGAGGGGGTGCTCAGCCGCCACACTTGGATTGAACGGTTCTGTCAATATTCCAGAAAGCTGTGACTTTCGATCACAATTTGACTTAATTAAACATGATTTTTTAGCCTTTTTTCTTAAATACTTTTTTGTCGGCATATGCATTTTGAATGAAAAAGTATAGAATAAACAAATCTGTAAAGTAAAAGATTGTTGATCATAGACAAAAATACGTTTGATTTCAAATAGAAGAAACCGAATGCTGCGCACTCTGGTTAATCCGGGGTGGCCAAGATCCCCGTGAAATTACAACCGGAGCTTTCTAATTAGCAGAATGACCTCCTAGCCCCGCAAAACCATCTCTATGCCTCTCAATATATCACCCAAAAAACTTTCGTTGAAAAATCTCAAAATAACTGAAAGACATATCTAAGTTAAAGTTATTTTTATGATTCTGCGCAAAAACTCTTCCCAATTTTACTTTTATTTATTTCAAACAATTTTCCTTTTTCTTTGAAATGTTCTCGTAGAATCAGAAAATGTTCAAGTTTGTTGTTTATTGTACTGTACTGCAGAATATACATGTACAGCAGAAGGTGTACATATGCGATCAATGCGGCTTCAAGGTAAATAAATACAATGTTGTTAAAGATCTATGTACTGTTAATATTCTACTTTGAGAATATGATTTTGAGTCTTGAAGAAAATTATGAAGAAACTCTAATACTTTGTTTTAAATACCTTTAAACTCTATTCCTATGTGGGGCGTGTAGAAACCCCCCCCCCCCACCCAACTCAAAAACTATTGGTCTGAGGCTGTTTAATTTTTTTTCTTTTCTCACTAACTAACTTCATACGAATTAAGCTGGGCTACCTAGTGCCTGAATTCTCAGGTCAAATACCTGAATGGCTAGTTTTACAGCTATATTTTACATTAAACCCGACTTCTAGCAATTGGATTCAAACATTTTAAAGCTGTGAAAGCCTATAAAAAAGCAAACTGCACAATTTTTGCATGGAAATTTCGCATTTTTTTTTGCACAGACGCCTTTAAAGTGAAAATTTACCCTTAGATTTTGAAAATTTTATTATAAAAGCATCATATTTTTCGGGCAATTTTGGATTTCGCATATTTTAACTGAAAAAGTGTATAATTCGCAACAAATATGCTGATTATTGAAGGGTACTATAAATCACAATAATAATAACAATACGAATAGTAACATTAACAATATGCATAATAACAACTTTATCAACGATAGTAATAATAATAACAATAATGATATTATCAATGATAAAAATAATTCTTGTTTCAGGCAATGGATTCAATTTCTCTTGACCGGCATAAAATAAACGCTCATGAAAAGAACCTGCCAGAAATAAGGAATCATCAAAATATTATATTCTATAATTATAAGAGATAAGGCTCTAATTACGAACTTAACTGCCTGGCTATGTAAAGGTTGAAGGTCTTTGTCTTAAATATAGTGTTTCATGTTATATTACAGAGGTTGCTAATTCATTTCTGTATTTATATTATACATTTTTTAATGATTAATTTTTCTGAAATTTTCTTATTAAATCTCAATTAAGTCTAAAGAATTAATATGATATGGGACACCCTGTATATGATGTAGCAAAGAAAGTGACACAAGATTATAGCTGCAGGAAACTATGAATATATGGAAGATTATAGCTGCAGGAAACTATGAATATATGGAAGATTATAGCTGCAGGAAACTATGAATATATGGAAGAAGGCTGAATTTTGTATGAACAGTTGTCTCAAGGGGTGAAAAAATTGCCTTTAGATGTTCAATTTTTCATTACCTCCCCCCCCATATCATTTCCCCTTTATATACACCCCTTGATAACTGAAGTCTCATCCTTTAATGGTAACCCTGTATTATAATATTCTGGTTCTTATATTTCTCAAGGTTAACTGAATATTATGTTGTGATGGGAGGGGGGGGGGGGATGATAAAGAAACTCTTAACCCGCCTCTTCTTTATTTTAAACTAATTAGCAGATTCTATAAATAGAAATATCAAAGGTCTATAAAGGAATATAAAGATCAAATTGCAATACTATAAGGTGAGGGGAGGAAGGCCAACCACATCAATCTCTAGTCCGAACCACATTCTCATCATTTTCTCGTCCGAACCACCTCGAAATCCTCGTCCTTTCAATATTATTTTTTTAAGTGTCCGATCCTTGAAAATAAATACATTTTTTGAAAATATGGCGACGTTAGGGCATAAAACATGACTAGATTAAAGTTTTCCAAGGATTTTGAGATGTTGGAATTTTCAAATCCACGAGAATGATGTCAAACATTATTTAGGTTAAAAATTGAATCTCTTCTGCCTCCAAAATGGATAACTTTCACAAATAAAAATTTATACCAAAGAATTCGCGTGAACATGGTCTTTAATCTTTCCATTTCAACCCATACAAAATAATCATTGATTTTTGATTTATTTACAAATAAGGTAGATTTGTTGTCCCCACTAAGAGATCCCTACTGCCTGCCGCATGCTTAAAATTATAGAAAAAATAATGTTCAATTTATATTATTCAAATCATTTGCTACAATTAATTGGTCACAACCCTATGAATTCAAACAGTATTTAATCATATAAAAATTGTAAGTCATATCTCTATTCTCTAACCCAAATTCAGCTGGAATATTACCAAAAAGTTGTTTACATCGAGTTTGAGAATGTTTTGCGGCATTTTCCACGAAAGAAAGGGCTCTTTACAGACGCTTTTTTGTAGAACATCGTTTATGAAGCATTTTCATTTTTACACAAATCTAAAATTTAATTGGGAAAATTTGATATTTCATCTATGCCCTAAAGTCGCCATATTTTTAAAAAATGTATTTATTTTCAAGGATCGGACACTTTAAAAAAATAATATTGAAAGGACGAGGATTTCGATGTGGTTCGGACGAGAAAATGAGGAGAATGTGGTTCGGACTAGAGATTGATGTGGTTGACCTTCCTCCCCTCATAAGGTATAGATTGAATTAGAACTAACAAGCTCAAACATATTTTGATGTGTTTACCGTCTCTAGATGTACTGAATGTGATTATATAACACATTTCAGGTGAAGAACATTTTAAAAATATGATAAATTTGTTACCAAGTGGTATTATTATACAGGGCACAGTAATCCAAAGATGGGAAGATCTGGATCTACAGGGTGTCCGAAAAAACATGGGAATACAATGACGACTTCAATTTCGTCTTTGTTCCATGCGGGATTATTTTATGAACATAATTTTGTAAACAATCAAAATTATTCAAAACATTTAACACCGAAAACTACTGTGTCGGGATTTCCAAAAAAGTGGTCTTCCATTTTTTACCTTAATTATGTCATATATCAATTATCGGAAATTAAAGACGACATTTAAAGTCGTCTCTCAATTGCTATGTTTATAAGAACACCCTGTACGTTAGGGTTTCAATTACCCATAAGAAAGTTTTTAAGATATCACACTGTTTAAAGTAGACAGCCTTCCACGGGCAGCCGTAGTACATTTGAATTTCCGAGCCGGGTCAACCTTTCCGGTCCCAGTTTGTACTGTACCTAGCTCTATGGCAGGACTAGCCGGTGCAACAAGGTTGACACGGTAAGACTTTATGCTTCAAATAGGTTGAATTTATAGAACGTTATTTCAATCCACCAAAACTTGGAAAGAATCTCATCAAATCTAATAAAGCTTATATACATATACACCGTGACCATAAATATATATATATATTCATAATCTAATGATTCATGGTTCAAGCCCCGTCAATTCTGCAACAATCAAAAACTGATAAAAATTCAGTCGTACTGATAAGTCCTCATAGGAAACTTATATATTTGAAGTATCAGCTTCAAATAAAAACATTTTAATATACTAAAGGATTTTACTTCACATGATGTTTCATGACTCGCGGCAAATAAATATATATTATATAGGTCTATCAAAATAGAATAAGAACATAATAATATGAATAGCTAAAAATAGGGTTTCCAATCGGAATTCCGTTGGGCGGAATTGCGCGCAACTGTTGTCGAATTGCGCGAAATTTTGAGGGCTCGCAATTGCGCGCTAGTAAAATCAACTTGCGTTGGAAACCCTAGCTAAAAGATTTTCATTGTGACAATTTTTTATGATGTTTTATGATTAATTTCATTTTTAGGAATAAATTAACGAAGCATGTTCAGATTGCTCATAAAGGAGTTCGTTTCCCCTGCACACAGGTATTCCATTTGTTCATCGGGGCTAACAGGGACAAATTGGTTCATCGGGGCTTAAAGGAACATGTTAGTTTATCGGGGCTAATTATAGGGACAAATTGGTTCATCGGGGCTAATTATAAGGACAAATTGGTTCATCGGGGCTAATTATTGGGAAAATTTAATTCACCAGGACTAATAGAGAAAAAAATGTTTTTATAGTTCATCGGGACGTATACTTCTGTTATGGTCTAGTATACTTATACTGTTATGGTCAAGTATACTACTGGCTTGGTCTATTATACTACTGGTTTGGTCTAGTATACTCCTGGTTTGGTCTAGTATACTACTGGTTTGGTCTAGTATACAAACTGGTTTGGTCGAGTATACTACTGGTATGGTCTAGTATACTTTTGTTACAGACTAGTATACTACTGTTATGGTCTAGTATACTACCGTTAGGTCTAGGATACTACTGTTAGGTCTAGGATACTACTGTTAGGTCTAGGATACTACTGTTATGGTCTAGTATACTATTGGTTTGGTCTAGTAAACTCCTGGTTTGCTCTATTATCCAGCTGTTTTGCTCTAGTATACCACTGGTTTGGTCTAGTATACTATTGGTTTGGTCTAGTATACTACTGGTTTGGTCTAGTATACTACTGGTTTGGTCTATTATACAACTGGTTTTCTCTAGTATAATCCTGGTTTTGTCTAGTATACTACTGAATTGGTCTAGTATACTCCTGATTTGGTCTTGTATACTACTGGTTTGGTCGAGTAAACTCCTGGTTTGGTCTAGTAAATTGCGGGTTTGGTCTAGTATACTACTGGTTTGGTCTAGTATACTTATGGTTTGGTTTAGTATACTACTAGTTTGGTCTTTTATACAACTGGTTTGCTCTAGTATACTCCTGGTTTTGTCTAGTAAACTACTGGTTTGGTCTAGTATACTCCTGGTTTTGTCTTGTATACTACCGGTTTGGTCGAGCAAACTCCTGGTTTGGTCTTGTATACTACTGGTTTGGTCTAGTATACAATACTACTGGAAATCTAATAAACCACTGGTATGGTCTATAGTGTACTCCTGGTTTGGTCTAGTATACTACTGGTTTGGTCTAGTGTACTATTGGTTTGGTCTGGTATACTACTGGTTTGGTCTAGTTTACTCCTGGTTTGATTTAGTATACTACTGGTTTGGTCTTGTATACTACTGGTTTGGTCTAGTGTACTCCTGGTTTGGTCTATTATACTACTTATTTGGTCTAGAATACTACCGGTTTGGTCTAGTACCTGGATTGGTCTAGTATACTACTGATTTGGTCTTGTTTAATACTGGTGTGGTTTTGCATACTCTTGGTATGATCTAGTATACTACTGGTTTGGTCTAGTCTACTAGCTACTGGTTTGTTCTAGCATACTTCTGGTTTGGTCTTGCATATATTACTGGTTTGGTTGAGTAAACTCCTGGTTTGGTCTTGTATACTACTGGTTTGGTCTAGTCTACTAACTACTGGTTTGGTCTAGCATACTTCTGGTATGGTCTTGTATACTACTGGTTTGGTCGAGTAAACTCCTGGTTTGGTCTTGTATACTACTGGTTTGGTCTTGTATACTCCTGGTTTGGTCTAGTATACTACTGGTTTGGTCTTGTATAATCCTAGTTTGGTCTTATATATTCCTGGTTTGGTCTAGTATACTCCTGGTTTGGTCTAGTATACTACTGGTTTGGTCTAGTATACTCCTGGTTTGGTCTAGTATACTACTGGTTTGGTCTAGATACTACTGGTTTGGTCTAGTATACTCCTGGTTTGGTCTAGTATACTACTGGTTTGGTCTAGATACTACTGGTTTGGTCTAGTATACTACCGGTTTGGTCTAGTATACTACTGGTTTGGTCTAGTATACTACCGGTTTGGTCTAGTATACTACTAGTTTGGTCTAGTATACTCCTGGTTTGCTCTAGTATACTACTGGTTTGGTCTAGTATACTCCTGGTTTGGTCTAGTATACTACTGGTTTGGTTTTGTATACTCCTGGTTTTGTCTAGTATACTACTGGTTTGGTCTTGTATACTCCTGGTTTGGTCTTGTATACTACTGGTAAGGTATATTATACTACTGGTTTGGTCTAGTATACTCCTGGTTTGGTCTAGTATACTACTGATTTAGTCCAGTATACTACTGGTTTGGTCTTGTATACTACTGCCATGGTCTAGTATACTCCTGGTTTGGTCTTGTATACTACTGGTTTGGTATAGTATACTACTGGTTTGGTCGAGTAAACTCCTGGTTTGGTCTAGTATTGTTTCGCTACTTAGCGATTTCCCTAAAGACCTAATATATGTACCGTGTGGTATTTCTCAGGATTGTTGAAAGCTAAAAAGATTTGATATTTGGCCTTTCTTCCTCTCTTCAATTCTAGGAGCAATTGGTTCTAAATGTACACAAGTCAGTGACCATTCCTTTAAATATTAAATATTGTTTAACCATCCCAACGAGGGAGGGATAAAGAGCCGCCATGAGCCCCGCAATAGGGTCCCCAAGCCTCCGTATTCGCAGATGAGTATTTAAACCTGACGCTACCCCTAAACGGTAGAATAATAGTATAAAAAAAAAGATTTTCAAAGAAAGTATTTAATCTTTAAATAGTTATATAGTGTTTACTTGAATATCCAAAAAAATTGCATAACTGACTAACATTACTTCTACAATATCTTTTCTAAAGGATAGGGTTAGGCCTGGTCATTTTAAATGCTCATCTGTGAATCCAGAGGCTCAGAGACCGTTTCGCGGGGCTCATGGCGTCCCTGCATCCCCTCCTTACCCCAACACAACTCACACATCCTAGAACAAATAGGGGTTTACATTTTCTTGAAAAATCACTTCTTAGGAAATCATTTTCCCCAGAAGTTAGGTATGTTTTTAAAGTTTTTTTTTTCACTGAATTGGCGGCGAAAATAAATGATTTTAGTGGAAAAAGGTTTAGAGAGACTCTTACTATAGTTTCTATATTTAAAGAGACTCTTAATAAAGTTTCTTTATTTAAAGAGACTCTTAATAAAGTTTCTTTATTTAAAAAGACTCTTAATATAGTTTCTATATTTAAAGAGACTCTTAATATAGTTTCTATATTTAAAGAGACTCTTAATAGAGTTTCTTTATTTAAAGAGACTCTTAATATAGGTTCTTATTTAAAGAGACTCTTTATATAGTTTCTTATTTAAAGAGACTCTCAATAAATTTTCTTATTAAAAGAGACTTTTAATATCGTTTCTTTATTCAAAGAGACTATTAATATAGTTTCTTATTTAAAGAGACACTTAATATAGTTTCTATATTTAAAGAGACTCTTAATATAGTTTCTTTATTCAAAGAGACTATTAATATAGTTTCTTATTTAAAGAGACACTTCATATAGTTACTTTATTCAAAGAGATTCTTAATGAAACTTCATCAGGAACTCTCAATATAATTCCATTGCGATTGAGACTCTCTGGAAAAATTAATTTTTCAGAAATTCTCTGCAAAATTTATGTTTAAGAGACTCTAAATATAATTTCATTATTAGAAGAACTATCAACAAATTGTAATGCTTAAAATAGTTGCTGATAGGCTTTTTTTGTTATAAAGCCTATCAGCATAATTTCATTTCAAATGGTTTCTCAACATAATTTCACTATTAAAAAGACTCTTAACATAAGTTATTTTTTTTAAACTTTTGAAACAATTTCAATTGTTAAAAGAACTCTCAACATAATTTCATTGTTAAAGAGACGTTGATAGAAAGTTGAGCCATGGTATAAAACAAAATTATCACACTTTGAAAAAATGCAGACTGTTTGTTCATCAATAAGATCATATCAATTGTTAAAGAGACTCTCAACAAACTTCCAATGTAAAAGTGAATTGATATTCTTGTATTTAGTGTGATTATAAAGCAACGGAGAAGAGTCACCTGAGAAGACATATACAGAGCATTCACGAAAAGATAAAATATGACTGTGATAAGGAAAGTTGAATTCTTAATAAATTTGACTCAAATCAAAAAGACCAAAAATAAATAAATTGCATTATATAGATCGCAATACTGTGGGGGGTGGGGAGATTTTATGATTTTTCAATAAAATATATTTCTTTGTTTTATAAATTAGATAATTCAACTATGTGTGTTTAGTGTGAATACAAGGCATCTGAACCAGGCAATCTTAAAAAGTAATTTTTTTTACATTTAATTGGAAGCCGACGCTATCCTGGTCTCCGGGAGGAGGGGGGGTACTGAGAGTTTCGGGGATGGGGGGGGATGGGTTACTTAGAGTTTTGTTTTCTTAATTTAAAAACGTCTATAGAGCAATGGAACACTGGATCACTTCTTAATTTTTATATTTAAAAAAAATGCGTCGAATGTAGGGTTTCCAGTGAAAAGGAAAAATGTTTTCGCGAAAAATTTCGCATTTTTCCCGAAATTTTTCGCGACCATTTCGGTTCATTTTCGCATTTCGTTCGCTCGCGAAAAATGCGAAAATTTTCGTTTTTTCGCGAAATTTCGCTTCAATCTGTTTCGCGAAAAAAAATGTAAATTATGCAAAAAAATTGATAAGAAAAATGCTAAATTTTAGCGAAAATTCATCAAAAAAAAAGACTAAATTTTGAAAATACAAGACTCATTTTCTAAGAGGGATTTTTCCGCGAGCCAAATTGATGGATTAACATAAAATATAAATATAGATTTAAGAACGATTAGGTGACATCAGATATTTCGCATTTTCGCGTATTTTTCGCGTCGCTTTGTTTTCGCTTCATTTATTTTCGCGAAATTTCGCGAAAAAGTTTGCGAAATGCGACCGAAAATTTTCGCATTTTTGCATTTTTTGCGAAACGTTTGGTTCGCTGGAAACCCTTTCAAAAATATATATATTTCTGTTTTACAGTTTTCGACGTGCTTTTTGAAGCTTTTTTAAACTTCAGCAACTTAACCATTGGGCATGGCATTTTTTAAGATAAATTGGCCTTAAAAAGTTTATAAAAATGTATTATAAACCTCTATCTCGAAATAAAAAAGTCCCCCCCCCCTAAATTTGATATAAATAGTCAAACCGGGATAGAGTTACATAACTCCTTTTATTTCTCCACATTCCACACTTATTTCTTTTTCAATATTTACTCATAAAAATATCTTTAGTTTTTAATAATTTTTCAGGAATTTGAAATACTTCTGTGACATCATTCTTCCTATAGTATAATAGAGACTGTAAACGTAATTTCAAGTAACATTCTATTGAAAAAGTGGTTTGTTAGATTCACAGCCGTACCCTTTAAAAGTAGTGTTGCGAATTTTACAAAAATTACAAAATTACAAAAAACAGTTCCACTTAGGGGTACTTTTGTTATACATTTTTAATTTTTTAACTGTGTGTAATATATTTTAGTCATAAGAAGAGAATTCATGGTGATGTCTTTGACAATTGTTCCTTGTGTTCCTTTATTGGTAAATCTGCAAGTGAACTAAAGCGACATGAGTTTTTGGTTCATGATAAGGTAGGCTTGTATTTAATGTCACGTGTCTTCGTCTGTATCACGTGACAATGATACTGAACTGCCATTGGTGGGAGTTCTGGTCACGTGATACGGACGTATTAATTATATGATCAATTAATGAAAAATTATTAAATTTAAATAACAATAGGAGCAAACCTAAGTTGTCAGGCTCCTCTGGTATATCATAGTTCTCAGATTGGGAACGTATTTGCTGAATATCATCTGTTTAAACCTACGAGTTTTATACAAAAAATATTAGTTTTATTTCAATTTCTCGAGACAAGAACATCAGATAGAACTCTTATGGGTCCCGATCAACTCCTAAAATGCGTAGACTTCAACCTATACCCCCTTTCATATTTCCTGCACAGTCCCTTCCACTTTTTAGGGTGAAACGTTTTTCAGGAATTATCCTCAAGAACCAAAAATGTATTCATTCTTCTAGGAATTCTAAGAAGAATGCAGTTTTGGGTTCTGAAAATGATTCTTAAAAAATGTTTCACCCTCAATGTCCAGAAAATAATTGGTACCATTTTATGTTTAGCTTTGAACAGTTTTCATTTTTACCTGATGCATATATTAAAAGAACGTTTGGAAAAAAGAATTCAAATTTGTATCTAAATTGCAAGTTGAGAGCTACAGTGTTACCCACAAAGGATGAGACTATAATGACGACCTAAAAATTATGATTTAAATCGATTAGAAGGTTAAATTGTGTCTTTTTATTATACTAGTATACAAAGTTTTACTTCATGATTTGAAAAAGAAATAAACAAGTTTAAAGTTGCAGCTGGAACCAACACTGTCAGAAGACTCATCATTTTTTATTCCTGGTTTATATAAATCCGCACAAAGTAAAATCTACTTTCCAATTTCAACTTTATAGATTTGAAATGTCTCTCTTTTCTAAATCTTCGAAGCAAATAGAGAAATTTAATTTGAAAAGTTCCAGCGTTGATAGATTGATAGAGAGGTCTACCCCATTAGTCTAGGAAATCTTTCAACTTTTATGAGCAAACTTTTATAAATTAAATTAAATCCCTCAATCCATCTTATGTTAACAGTCAGTACTGGACCTCAACTTTAAACTTCAATGTACGAATAAGTATGTTCTAATTTTTTTAAGCGGTTACCGGTTTTAATTAAGACCGTTAACATTTTTTTTCATGCAGCCGCTCGTTTATTAGCTGAAAACGGATCTGGACAACAAACAAAAGATTACTTGCAAAAACATTAAACACAAAAAAAGTATCAATATGCGTTAAAATGTATTAGTCAACAAATAAGCGGCAGAATCTTCCGGTAATATACGAAGCTCTCCGTTTTGATAACGGAGATTTGTTTTCTAATATTTTAGATCAAAGATTTTTACATTTTGACCTAGGCTAAGTAACCTTGCCCTTCAATCTACAACACATTTTTAGTTGACAATTTCTAACATCGTCTGATAAAAAACACGTTTTAAAAAATTGTTTGCAATTTTTAAATTTGTGTATTGATCCTGTTATTATTTAGGTTGATTTCTGCTGTGACAAGTGCAGCTATGAATGTGAGTCCCAGGAAGAATTAAAAATGCACAAAGTTTCTTTGCACCGGAATATTTACCTTTGTGATCAGTGTGATTATAAATCTCACCAATTATCTAATTTATCAAGACATAAGAAGAGCATTCATCCAATCTCGTAGCCAGGAAATATATTCCCTTTTTTATATTTGGAAGGAAATATTCCCACAACCTCTATTTTTAAGGGTTTAAAAATACTTCCTCCTCAATAACTTAAAGGAAGTGTTTGCGAAAATATTACATATTTGATATAACAATAGATAAAAATACGAATATTTATTTTCAGATCAGTGCAATGAAGAAAATATTTCTAAATATTTTTTTTTTTATTTGTCTAAACATTAAAAATTCAAAGAAATGTTAACTACATTCGAATGACATAATTTAAATGAACATGTTCTCTTTGTATACATTGTAAAACAAAAACAAGCAAAACATTTTGCAAATTTTATAAAAAAAAACGTGGATTTTCAAAATTTGTCAAAAATCAAATTTTGTTAGAGGCAAATTGTTTTAAAATTCGATCATCCATAAACCTTTAACGGGGTCACGTGAGGTCCCACAAAAAATTTAGGCCTGAAAGGTTTACCTGTTTTGACGTTTATTGGATACAATCAAACAGACAGACAAACAGACAAGCCAAATTTATATATAGATGTACTGTAATATTTGAAGGATCAGTATTAGATTTAATTGAATGATCTCTGTTTGAGTGGAATAACGCAATAAAAGTGGGCTAATGGGCATTTTAATAATTTTCTCCGTGTAGACGCAACAGATGGAAGTTAAATAAGTAGCTGTAGAATCCGACCCCCTTTTCATTTTTCGTGAGCACTCCCATGAATTTAGTATTTTTTTGTTATTTTATTTTTAAAAATCACTCAAGATCTTACTTAGAAATTGAAATTTTTTTTTCAAATTTCCTACATCAGAACGGTGGACGATCTACTTTTTTTTAATAAAGGGACTGTAAGCATAATTTCAAGTGACACTCAATGCAAAGATGTCAATGTCCGATTCACAACGATACCCTTGAAATCTGATCAAGAACACATTAGATATTAATGTTTATGATTTTGTAAATTGATGTTTATGTGGTTTTTTATAAAAGTCATTGACTGCGCGCATTTTCAATCTTTTAGACCTAGAAAAAACGACAGTATCTTTTTTATTATTGATTAGATGAAGAGTAGCATTGTGAATCTGGCATTATTACCATCTTTGCAGGAAGGGTCACATAAAATTCCGCATACAGACCCTTTAACTACACTAGTGATCAACAGCCCTCATCGTTGATATTATTAAAATATTTTTTTATTTTTTATTTTAATTTATTGAAGAGTCGAGCATCTTAAAACTAAAAAAACCTGAAAGTTTAAAATTTACCATAAAACTTTAAATTTATCATGAATACATTAAAATTTTAATTTTCTTGGCATTTTATCAAAATAAAAAGATATTTAGATACAGATTTTCATGTTATCTATCTATTTTAAATTGTAAATAAAAATCTCGAAATATATACACAAAACAAAATAATTAAAACCATACATAGTGTGAAGGTTGATAATTGATATGAATAAAAAAGTGGATATTAGAACATTTTTCATATTTTTTCCCCAAAGAAATTCAAAAGTTTCTTATAACTTGCTCGCGTTGGTGTTTATGTAAAACACCTGTACGTTTGATTTAAAACCACAGAAAGCTTAAAATGTTACAATTTGTTCATCCTAATATCTTTGTAATCTGATGTCGTATAGACCTTTATTATTTCAAACTTAAGAATTTCGCTATTTTCAAAGACTCGAAATTTAAAAATTAAATGTTGACACCAGGTCTGTAAAGTTTGAGTCGAATATCTAATTCTGTTTTCTAAACAATATTCGGTTTTAACATTGATTTTCTGTAACTTTAAAAAAGGTGGTAAGAGAAATTATCATGATACATTGTATAAAAAGAATTCTAATTGGTTAGAAAACAGTAGCAAGAAAGAAAAAATGATAAAAGATACAGAAAACCAAAATATTTTCTCATAAAAGTAGAAAATATATAAATTGAAATTCATTTTTCTTTCACTTTTATAATTATAATTTTCCGCCAATCTTTCATCTTTTCTCCAGTGTTTCCAATCTTAAATAATCATTTTCAAGAATCCCCGCTCACCCCCTCCCCCTCCCCCCATCTCACCCCTACATGATGAGCAGATGTTGACCTATTTTTAATCCCAAAGGGTAACCCTCCATTTTAAAAGTTTGTTTCTGAGTTTTTTGTAAGTTATAAGATTATTCGGAAATGTTACATCGTCTATACGCAACCTCCACCCTACTGAACTTCTGACCTACTAACTTTCCGACCTACTGCAATATCGGACCTACGCCAGCTGTTTATTTTTGTATTATTTGAGACTCAGGTTAGGTTAAGACTATTTCTGGGCCGAGCGCCGCGGCTAGGACAGGCTAGGGGGCCAGGCGCTGCGGCCACAAGTCCATTTAGCAGCTGCAAAACCTTGTGCTAGTAGGTCAAATGTGTAGTATAGCGGATTTTGTGTAGGTCAGAAGTGGAGTATAGCTGATTTGCGCAGGTCGAAAAATACACCACCGATTATTCATATAAAATTATAGACCCGCTTAATAATAATAATAATAATCAAGCTGGATTGAAATTGCCGACAGTCCCGCGCGTTTTCTTTCATTTTTAACGTTTGGAATAGCACTAAAAATGTATAACTTCAAAGTAAAACAAATTATGAGATAATTGTAAAAGTGTCCCAATAAGAATTTAGATATGGCGTCTTTTTAATCAAATTTGATCAACAGTGCATTATTGTGAGCACAGGCTGATAATTCACGAACTAAAAATAGAAAACTCTTAGTCTTTATGTTATCTGTCCATTTAGAAAATACAACCCAAATACTCGATTTGTTAGTTTCATTTTTATCAATTAACGGGTTGCATTTAATTCTTTAATTCCAGTGCTAAATGTATAGTTTGAAAATCCTTGAAGAAAGTTTTTTAACATGTGTTATATTTGTTAGAACTAAAATATGTTTTTTAATCTTCTTTTAACGTAACTTTAGCACTTTTAGTAAAACTTATAAAGGGAAGAAGGTGAATAACTCTCTTTTTCTTGGGGGGGGGGGAGCTAAAGGCCTAAGCACCCGTTAATTTGTCCTTTTTTGTTTCTGCCAAAAAAATTTACTAATTCTCTTCATTGTTTCATGTTGGGATTGCTACATTAGTCAAGAATTATTTAAATAAAAAAATGTTGAGGTTCGTCTCCTTCTAAAAATCTTTGAAACTTCAGGTTTGAAAATGATTATTTTAGCCTTCGATTTTATATCATTGAAAAAGAAAAATAGCAAAGCAGCACAATGCTTTGGTGCAATGAGTGTGTGTCTAATGTTGACAAGGTGTGTGATTACAAAATTAATGTAAACAGACAGACACTAATACAGGATCGAAGAGACAGACAGATATACAGACAGTATAAAAAAGAAACAGGTAGAAGTATAATATATGTAGAAACAGACAGACAGCATATAATATATTATCAGACACAGAGTCAGTATGTAATAAATATTGTAATAAACCCCATATTTGTAAACCTGAAGATACCAATATGTATTACTTGATAACAAAAATTTTTATCCTAACTATCATTAATATCATCAGTCCATATCATTAACATGTACTACGATTTAATTTAACCACGTTCATTAATTTAACCTGTACCATAAAAACTAAAATATAGATTAGTTGGACATGAACCTATGCAGACAGTTGAATATAGAAATAGACAGACACTAACACAGACACAGACAGACACCATACAGAAACAGACAGACATTGTAATATAAAACCAGACAGAAACTTATCAGAAACAGACAGAACTAATATAGAAACATACAGACACTAATAAAAAACAGACAGACACTAATATAGAAACAGACAGACAGTAATATAGAAACAGACAGACAGTCGAATATAGAAACAGACAGAACTAATATAGAAACATACAGACACTAATAAAAAACAGACAGACACTAATATAGAAACAGACAGACACTAATAAAAGACAGGTACCAGTACAAACGTCGGACGGTACAAACATAAGACTTACAAACGTCGGACAGTACAAACGTCGGACCAGTACAAACGTCGGCCCAGTACAAAGATCGGACCAGTACAAACATCGAACCAGTACAAACGTCAGACTGGTACAAACGTCGGACCAGTACAAACGTCGGACCAGTAGAAACATCGGACCAGTACAAACGTCGGACCAGTACAAACGTCGGATCAGTACAAACGTCAGACCAGTGCAAACATCGGACCAGTACAACCGTCAGACTGGTACAAACATCGGACCAGTACAAACGTCGGACGGGTACATTTATAAGGAAAAACGTCGGACTAAGGAGGAAAAAATATATTTGAATTTTCTGATTAAAATTCATGTTAATTTGCAATTTTCTCTCAAAAAATATAGAAATATAGCAATAAGTCCACGAACTGTTCTTGGAAACATCTACATACAACATCGGGTTGCAAAGATATAGGGAATAAACTGTATTATCTTGTAGAATTCGTTTTTTGAAATATCTAAGGTCTACAACAGCGGGTTGCAAAGATATCGGGATTAAACTGTATGATCTTGTAGAATTCAAAGTTTAAAATTTTTAAAACAATGGTCCATTCAAAATCTACCAAGTCCAACGTTTTTTCTTATAAATGTACCCGTCCGACGTTTGTACTGGTCCGACGTTTGTACCAGTCTGACGTTTGTACTAGTCCGACGTTTGTACTGGTCCGACGTCTGTACTGGTCCGACGTTTGTGCGTCCGACGTTTGTACTGTCCGACGTTTGTGGCGTCCGACATTTGTGCGTCCGATGTTTGTACTGGTACCAAAAAACAGACAGACACTAATAAAGAGACAGACAGACAGTAATATAGAAACAGACAGACAGTAATATAGAAACAGACAGACAGTATAATATTTTTAAACGTTGGTGGGCGTGGACAATAATATGATAGGTTAGCTGGTTGATCAATTGGTTGGTTGGTCGGTTGGTGGATTGGTTCTTTGATCAATAGGTTCGTTGGCCGGGCTCCTCAACTCGGGCACTAAGTTGCAAATATTCTCTGATTTAAACTGATAAAAGGGGATCATTTATTTGGTGTTTTACCTAATTATACAATTTTACGTTGATATACCTTTAAAGTTTAGATAGTTTTATATTTAATATCACATAAATTATATAATATATATCCTGTCAACAGTTTAGCC